AGTGCCAACGTGGTCAATATCAAAGCATCAGCTGCTTAGAGGCAATATCCCAACACTTGACCCACCAAAAACATTAATCCAAAATGAAGAGTGAAAAGTTTTACATGGTTCAGCATTGTTCGGAACAATGTCAACAAGGTCAATTTAGGGAAGGAGATACTAAATTTATTAACATTTCTTTTCCTCCTTATTGTATGTTTTTAACAACCTGACTTTCTTGGTTACGCAAAATTCATTCTAGGACTTGAAAATAATTTCTGACTACTCGTTTATAAAAAATAGACTGCTACTTCAGGATCTAAATTTGGGAAGTTACTAGATTCACTTCCAGTGCTGCTCTGGCCTCTTAAGAATAGGGCCTGTGGTTCTACATGTGAGGTCATGATATAGGGGAATTATTCAGAAAAGGAACCACAGCCCCCTACACACAAACATAATCCCACCTTCATGCAACAGGCACAAAGTAAACACTATTACGGCAAGCTTTCTAAGTGCTATCTGGCTGACCCAATACATTTTATCTTTAATCCAGTGTTTTTTTTACAGTGGCACAATTGACATTTTGGATCAGATAATTCTTGTAGAGGGCTCTCTCAAGCAATGCAAGATGTTCAGGAGAATCTTTGTCTTCTACTAACTTGACAGTGGCGTGTTCCTTCAAGCTGTTATTATAAAAATGATCTCCAGGTATTGGGAAATGTCTCCTTGGAGGCAAAATTTCACTCTTACTCAAGAATTTTAACTGCCTGAAACAGGTATATAAGTAGCATGACCATTTTTTAAAAGTTCAAAAGAGGTGTAAGAGAATCTCCCTTTTTCCACCTAGAGAATATCTCTAACTACCTGGAGATGATGAATACTAAGATAGTCTTTTGTATGACCCAGAAAGATGTTGTCATGCACATGTGTACATACATCTATTTTGCACAGTCAGGACCATTCAAYGTAAGCCTTGATTTTTTTCCATTTTAATTATATATCTGTGAGCTTTTTGTATGACAATATATACATATTTGTATCCCTCTATTTAATGTCTGTAAAGAATTTCATTATATGGATGAATTCTAATTTTTTAACCAGCTGTCTGTGTACATGCCGTAACTAAGTTTTCATTTTTCCAAATGATGCCAAGTAAACACACTCATGTTTTGATGTCAAATGCTACGTGATTATAACTGTAAGATATAAACTAAGAGTCATCTTTAAAAGTGGAATTACTGGGTCAAAGGAAAAGTACATTAAACATATTTGTAGACAGTGTCATATTACCAGTTAATTGCCTTTTCTGCCTGAATATATTGAAGAGTTAATCTTATAAAATTTTAAAACTCAGACTGGAGATGTAGTTCAGAAGCTGAGCATGTGCATAGCATGTGTGAAACCTTAGAAAACCCACAAAAACTTAAATTATAATTCAGTAATTCTCATAATGGGATATGCATGGGTATTGGTCTGTCTGTATCTGTTGTTTGCTTTCTTTCCTGAAACAAAGGATGCTCTCTTTTGGCTAATCAAGATTTTAGAATATTTCAGGAATTTTTCTTCTGTTTTATCTTTGAATATATTTTTTAATATATTTGTTCTTTTTTTTGAGAAGTATACTTTTTGGAATTTTTTTATTATCTTTGAAAGATTATTGTTTCTCTTAAAAAGCAATATTAACACTTTGTTTTTTGCTTAGCATTGTTTTATTAAGACCAGCCTCCTATTCCTAATTTCAGCAATGTCAATTCTGATTTTTATTCCCTTCTCTATGGCTTTAATCTGTAACATTAATCTTTCCTTATTTTCTTCCTTCTTTAATATCTTACACATCTTATTTTATCTCTTGTTTCAGAGAAAAATAATTTTCTTTAGCTTGTTTAGGCTCACAAAAGGTATTTGAAAATTTCTTCTAGCCCCATGACCTGGTTCTTCTGTAGAGATTGTTTCATATGCACTTATCTTATTCTTATTTTTTCTGTATTATTATTATTTTTTTAGGACGTCTAGAGGACTAGGGTTTCAAAGTTGTCTTCAGAACACTTTCTCATCAAATTTTCTGTTTCTTCTCCACTGGTCATCTGTCACCTTGCAGTAATAAGTACCTCCCCCGCTGCCATTTTTTCCTCTTGGAAGAGGAGCCTCTATGCTTCACAGGGAATTTATGTGTGTTATGAATTTTCTGTTGGATGATTTTGTATTTTGTCTTCTTCAGTTTACCTTGATTAGTGTCTGCCAAGTTGATTGTCATGTATATTTCTACTATGTCCTTCCATTCTCCCTGCTTGATTCTTAAAAATCTTTTTAAAAATTATGTATTGCCCTCTAAGTTCAATTTGGCTGCTGCACTAAATTTGTCCAGAGACCTCAGTCACTCCTTCTCTACTTCTATATTTTGTCCTCTAATTAAAAAAAAAAAAAAGATGGGGCTGGAGATGTGGCTCAAGCGGTAGTGCACTCGCCTGGCATACACGCGGCACTAGGTTCAATCTTCAGCACCAAATAAAAATAAATAAAGATGTTGTGTTTGCCGAAAACTAAAAAAATAAATATTAAAAAAAGAGTTGGTTAGCTATTTTTCAGTTGTTTTTTTTTCTTTCATGGAAATATTTTACTCTTAATCTATAGGTTATGCTTGTTATGGACATTTTACCTTTTATTTGATCTAATCACATATTTATTAGTATCCATTCTATATCATATATGGTTTTAATTAAAGCAGTCTCATTGGTTAACTGAAAATGGTCTATCCTACTTTTTTCTTCTGTTTTCGTTTGTTTTTGTTGATTTGAGTTGATGGCAGGGGAGGAAAGGCCACTAGAAATATCACAACCATACCCCTTTCACCAAGACAACTTAACTGACTAAGCAATATAATCAGATGCTTACTAGATATCCATCAGTGTTGGCTAATTATTTGAATGTAACTCAGAAGTATAGAACAGTCTTAGGAAAATTAATTGTAAACCTTTGAAATGGTTTACAGATATATTTGAATCAGATGTGTATCCAGGTACTTATTGCACTAAAAGTGTGATTCAAGTATTGATTGCCAATGTCTTGAGTGGTAAAAAGACAATAGATTGAAATTGTGGGTTTAGGGATGGGTGATATTTGAATCAGTGTTGTAAGAATATTCTGAGTGTAGAACATAGCATGAACCTTTGGTTCTCAGTTGTCCTCCAGTATTTCTTCATCAGGCCTCTTTGGGACTTCTTTGGATGATAGCAAAATTAAGAGCAAATTGGATTTTTTGAAAATCAACAAGCTTATCTTGGATTTAGGAGGGAGTCTCCTATTTGATTCTTTAAAACTTGGGTATGAGATGATGAAAGCTGTGTTTAAGAAAGACATAATTTAGTGATTGAACCGAGACACTTAATTTTATCCCGCTGGGTCTTGGTGAGTCCCTATTTATACCATGTGTCGTAGTGGATATGGCTATACATAAAGCAGCAGAGGGGATGATTTCTGTCTCAAGAAACTTGGACTGGTGGAGTTATGAAGCTGATTTTGAAAAATATTTAATTTAGTAAAATTTCAGTGCCAGAGTTGATTTCTACTCAGGTTAACAGGGTGTAGTTATTCTGTTTTGGATTAGGTTCTACCAAAATAATGAATTTAGTCTACCATGAGTTAGCCTAAAAGTAGATTCCATGATGTTTTAATCAGCTATTTCACTGCTGTGACCAAAAGACCTGACAGGAACAATGTTAGAGGAAAAGTTTATTTGGGGGCTCATGGTTTCCAAGGCCTAGTCCAAAGATAGCTGATTCTTTTCCTAAGGGCCCCAAGTGAGGCAGAACTCATGGTGGAGAGTATGGCAGAGGAAAGCACCTTAAAATGGGACCAGGAAACAGAGAAAGAGAGTGTGTGTTCTTTTACCAAAAACAAAATATCTAACCCAAAGGCATGCCCCCAGGGACCCACCTCCTCCAGTGATACCCTATCTGCTTACAGTTACCACCCAGTTAATCCCTATAAGGGATTAATGCACTGATTAGGTTAAGGCTTCCATAACCCCATCATCTTACCTCTAAACTTTTTTGCATTATCTCACACGTGGGTTTTTGGGGGATACCCAGTATCTAAACAATAACACATTATTTGTATGGGATTTTTAAAAGTCTGCCCCCAAATCATTAATATCCTATCATATCAAATTAGCTGCACAAGAATGTTTCCCCATATTTCTGTATTTGCTTCCTTTTAAGTCCAGTTTTTGCCCACCCTCCTGAAGATTCACTCCTCCTCTACCCCACACTTAGTGCCTCCATATCTTCTTCTGATCATACCTGAGAGATCTTTCCTTCTCTAAAATCATTGTATTTTCTTGTTTTGCAACACTAATTAATCCCTGGCACTTTGTTCTGTAGTTATTTTTATGTTAGTTTTGCCTAGTCAATCATAATTATAGACTAATTGAAGACGTGAACAATATTCTAAGGTTTTATTTATTTATACATTCAGTGTTGCTGCAAAAGATGATGAGAGCCTGTTTCTTTCATATTATTTGTTTTAATATCAGCCAAGGAAGAGAACATACAATTATGGAGGGTCAGTATTTTGTGAACTAAAAACACACACAACCAAGAGAGGAGTGTTTGCTGTTGTTTCTTATTTATGACTTTTATCTATTTGAAAGTCCTACAAATATAAATCTTATTTATCAAATCAACTTTACAGGAAAAAAAATAACATGAAGTTCAGACTCTTCCAGTCCATGAGAATGTGTTGACACAGACATAGTAAATATAAACCCAATTGTTTTGTTTTAAACTTTATGCATATATCTTATAAAACCAATGTGTCTTAAATATAAATTTTCCTTAAAATATTAATATTAGTGATATTGGGAATTTAGATCCTATGAAAGAACAACTGSTATGGTCCGGGGGCTCATTATCCCTGAGCAGCTGTGTCCAGCTGGTGGTCCACATTCCCCACTACTTCTTCGGTGAATGGAAACGTTTAGGTCAATATTGATATAAAACTTCATGAACTTTCTTCTCTTTCAGCTTTGGTTCGCCTTTGTTAATGGATTTTCTGGGCAGATTTTATTTGAACGTTGGTGCATCGGCTTGTACAATGTGGTAAGCATTCTCCACCTCTCTCTGATAGCATGCAGGACTTCGGGGACATTCCTTCACTGTTTATGTCTGGGAAGTGTATCTAAGTCAATCATCTGTGTACTTAGCAGGCAGCACAAATATATCTTTAGGGCCTTTGTTGCTCCAGCACATCCTGCAGAAGCCCAAACTCTCCACACATGGTTTCAATCATAGCAGATCATTCTTGAATAACCCATGAAGTTATTAACCCATATATCTTGATAATAGACCCTTGTTGCCCCCTTACTAAATGCCTGCTCAACAATTCATGATTTTAGCTCAAGTTAAAATTTCTGAACTACATCTAAACTCACTTTACTTCATAATTTTTTACTTCTGAATTCTTAATTGTAGACACAAAAATATAGAATATGTGACCACTGCTGTCCCTTCTGTCCTTCCAGAAAGAGTATCTTTCCTTGTAGAAGGACATTTTCTTCCACAGTTGTTATTCAGATGATGAGTTCTGATTTCCAGCTGTCATGGAGAATTGTAATCAGCTTATCTGGTAATTTTCATGATTTCCAAGTACTTTTCATATTACTTGACTGTGATGAATTCAAAAGCTGGAAATTAATATAAACTATAAGCTAAAATGGCTCCGTAGCTGTTTGGCTGGCTGGCTTTCTTTCTTTCTTTCTTTCTTTCTTTCTTTCTTTCTTTCTTTCTTTCTTTAATAGGAGGTAAAAAAAAAAAAAAAACAACCTGAGAGGCTTGTTTCTGAGTGCTGTAGAGACCCCAGAATGGCCCATCTCTAGATGATGATAGAGTTGCTCTTCTTGCTCTGGACTCTACCCTGGCGTCCTGTGCCCCTTGGGAGTTTCCCTTTCTGTAGCAGCCATCACAGATAGGTGTAGATGGGAGTTACCAGACGTGCAATGATATAACTTGTGATGCTATAAATATTTATAGTGTGTGTAGACTTCAGTGGCCAGATATTCATGCTGCCCATACATTCAGCCCTCATTTTTTGAGTAGCGCCCATGTGGAGTGCTGGTAAAAAATGCTGAGTACATCAGTTTACCCTAATCCCATGTAACTCACAGGTTCAGGGGGTCAGTGGTGAGGCTGGGTTCCGATCTTGAGTTGAATTGTGATGGCCCGTTAGTGTCTGTGTTACTGGCTACAAAAATGCACTATGCTTTTGTGCTGATGCCCTAAAAGACAAAGACAACTGATAATGAGAGAAGAACTAGGTTGACATGCTGGTGAACCTCCTTTAACAGCTTACTCCACAATTAGGGCCTCAAGGGCTTCCTTTCTATGTGCTAAAGGGAGACTAGAGATCATTAGCTTTGTAAGACTTGAAACTATTTTGAGTAGGTTAACCCATTTTGTACCATTGTCCCAGATGCAGAACATCTGTGAAATCTTATATATAGTATATAACATACCATATGATTATAGTAATAATAATATAATTATATAATATAACATTATAATATAATATTAATATAATAATGTATATAAGTCCTAGGTTATGATTTCCAACCTATTTTAACGTGTTTACATAATTTTTTTGAAATATCGGTAGAAATTAAAAACTTAGGACTTCATAACTTAAAGTTATGCTACGATTTGGTGGGAGGAACATGTGGGCTACTGTACAGTGGTTCAGCACCAAGTGTCACAGAGTTGCTGTCTCGTGCAAATCCATGCCACACTCCTATTATTTTAGTTAATTAATTTAGGCACAGGGGATTAAACTGAAGCATACTTTACTACTGAGCCACATCCCCTGCCCTTTTTATTTTTTATTTTGAGACAGGTTCTAGCCAGGTTGCTTAGGGCCTTGCTAAGTTACCAAGACATGCCTCAAACTTGCAAGCCTCCTGCCTCAGCCTCTCAAGTTGCTAGCTGGGCTAAGGATATAACCCAGTGGTAGAGTGCTTGCTTAGCATGCATGAGGTCCTGGGTTCAGTCCCCATCACAAAAAGAGAGAGAGGGAGGGAGGGAGACACTGAGCCCTAGGAGGCTCTGCTGTGGAGTTAAGGACAGGAGGACTGGAATGCATGATACCTGCTTATAAGATGAATGGATTTTAGCCCTCTTTTAATGATCCTGGCATGGAGCTAGGTTCTTCTCTTCCATGAGGCCTTGGGCAATTCAAATGAATTCAAAAAATTTTATTAGGTGCCTGTTCTACATAAAATGCTGATAAGCTGAGACAGAGTATTGGTCAAATTAAGGCCCACAGAACAGTTATGGAATAATAACCAGGGATTGTTTGGAAAGTACAGATACCTGAGCTCCACAGCAAGTTAACAAAGAGTGTCATAGAGATACTGCCTTTTTTTTATATTATTATTTTAAAGAATGACCTTTTATTATTGTCAAAATGTGCTTGCTCATCATAGCAAACTGGAAATTACAAATAAGCAGAAAAGAGCAAACTAAATTTCATTCATAATTCTACTACACAGAAGTGACCAATATTATAATTTTGCTATGATTCTTTCCAGAAAAATTAAGATTACATGGCAATACTGGTCTGCTGCCTATATTCCTACTAGATTATGTTGGGAATGAGATACTGCCTTTTAAATGCACTTTTCTAGTGATTATTATATACAAGAAAGTTTAAAAAACATAGTGAGTTGGAAGAATTGGAAATATGTTCTTTTTGCCTTTATGTGTCCCCTGAGCTATAGAGGAAAGGACATTATGAATAGTAGTGGATCACAAGGTGAAATGATCTTGGGTTACCTCAAAGCAGGCACTGAAATGAGCTGCTGCAAAGTGCTGGTAGGAAACGTACTTCCAATTAGGACATCAAGGGATCTGTGACTGCCTCTCTCATTTGAGAACACAGCAGTGTCTCAGTCCACTTTCTGTTGCTATAACAAAGTATCTAAGACTGGGAACTTTATAAAGAAAATAGGTCTGTTTAGCCCACATTTGGGAGGCTGAAAATCCAAGATTGAACAGTCCCATCTGCTCAGGTTTAGTGAGGACCCCTTTGGCTGAATCACTACAGGACAGAAAAGTAGAAAGGAAAATGGCGACCTGCAGAAGAGACCAAGTGTATAGGGTAGCCTCACTGTATAACAACCCATTCTCAACAGAACTAACTCATTCCTGCAAGAACTACATTAATCCCCCCTAAGAAGGAGGCCCCCCTAACCTAATTACCTTCCACTGGGCTCACCACTCTGGGTACCAAGCCTCTAGCCAGTGAACCTTTGGAGGGCACACTCAAACCACACCCAAACTGAAGCAGGAAGCTTTGCCCTTTTTTCATGGCTTGTATATGAAATAAATTGAAATGTAGAGAAAAATTGAAAAAAAGTATAAATAAATCCCCAGATTTATTTATCAATTTATTTATCAATTATTCACATTTTGCCCCCATTTTCATTGTTTCTTCACATACGTACACACATGCATACCACATATGCACACACACACACGCACACACACACACACACACACACATTTATTTCTGAAGCAGTTGAATGTGTGTTAACAGACACCATGCCCTTTATTGCCTAACACTTCAGTGCATAGTTACAAAGATCTTTTCTTTTGTAACCACAGTATAATGATCATCAGAAAATTTTAACGTATATACAATACATTGTCTAATCTGTATTAGTCCATATTTCAATATTGCCATCATTGTTCTAGTAGCGTCCTATTTACCAGTTTTTTTTTTTTCTTGTCCACAATCATTCCAGAGATCTAGTACAAGAAGTAGTTTGAGACATGTAAAGCAGTTTACCAAGAATCTCTTTCCTGGGCTGGATTGCCCCTTGTCATTATATTTAAACAGTGTTTCTCTTCTACTTTTTCTTCAACTTATTTTTTATGTTTGACTCTTCAAACAAACTAGAGGAGCAAATCATTGTATCTCAATTTAATTCCCATAGCAAGTGAAAGAGTATTAAAACAGACTTGAAAATGATGCATCTCCCTCAGTACTGAGTTAGTACTGTCCCACTGAATTCTCATTACATTAGTCCTCTTCTCTGCAATTTCACTTTCTTCAGTTGCACTTACCCACATTCAGCTACAATCTGAAAATATTAAACACAAAATTCCTGATATAAATTAGTCATAAGATTTTTCTTTCTTTTTTTCAATACCGGGGATTGAACCATGCATGCACTCATGCATGCTAGGCAAGCACTTCACCATTGAGCCATAKCCCCAGTCCTTTTAGGGTCTTGCTGAATTGCCCATGCCTTGAACTTCCGATTTTCTTGCCTCCACCTCCTGAGTGGGTGGGATATAGACATGCACCATGGTTCCCAGCTAGTAATTCATAACTTTTATTGTGGCATATTTTTATAGTTGTTCTCTTTTATTATTTTTTGTTGACTTCTTATTATGCCTAATTCTAAATTAAATTTTATCACAGATTTGTATAAATAAGGAAAACCACAGTATATCTGGGTTTAGTATTCTGTGAGGTTTCAGGCATCCACTGGGGGTCTTGGAACTTATCCCCTGAGGAGAAGGASGGAGTGCCATATACCCGTGGTCCATTTAATTTTGTGGGTAGGATGATAAAGGCCACTCAGGGACAAAAGCTACTAGGATCAGATGGGTTTCAACTAAATTTTATATACTTTTTAGTGATGAGATAACTATAATTTATTTAAACTGTAGCAGAAAATGTATGCTATTATTAAGCCAGTATAATTTGAAGAAGAAAATTATGAGAAGGCCTCACTTATAAATAAACACAAAAATTCTAACTAAAATATCAGCTAATAGAGTTCAACAGTGTCTTAAAATAATAAAGTATTTGACCGAGTAGGACTAATTTCAGGAATACTAGAGGTTTGAAATTAAAAAATCTTTCTATTACTATGTCGACAAGGTGAAGAAAAACATCCCATCAGTAGATGCTACAAAAGCACTTGAAGCAATTCAGCTGCCATTCCTGAAATAGGAACTCTAAGTAAAATAGAAATAGAAAGAAGTCAGTTAACTATATTTCAGACTATTCACAAAAATAGTGAATAGTAGCATGCTTCCATAAATGATAAAATCCTAAAACTATTTCATTTTGAATAAGAAATTAGTCAAGATACCTGCCATCACTGTATAATTCAGCATTGTTCTGGGTTTTTCAGCAATTGTCAAGATTAAATGACTGTTACAAATATTGGAAACACAATGAATAATTTCTATGGTTATACAGTATGCATACAAAAACATGGGCATGTACATATGTTGCTATGTGACTGTTTATCTAGAAAACCCAAAAGATTACTAATAAAGAAATATTAGAATTATAAGAGAATTTGATAAGTTGACCAGAAAAATAATAAATATGTAAAAATCAATAACTTTTAAACATCCTAGCAGTTAGTATCATTATTTATTTATTTACTTGCTCTAGCAATCTAAAAATGCAAAGAGAATAGTAGTTTCTTTCAAAATTGCAGTAAGCTGGGATGTGACTCAGTAGTAGTGCATGTGCCTGGCATGTGTAAGGTCCTGGATTCACTCCCAGCACTGAAAAATTTTTTTTAAAGTTGCAATTAAAATTATACATTGCATAGGTATAATTTTATAGTACCTTTATGAAAAAAAAAGTCTTACTGAAGGATACAAAACAAAATTTCAACAAATGGAAGGCATGATATTTTTCTACATGAGAAGTCTTGGTATTATTAACGAGTAAAGTCTTCTAAAATTAACATGTAAATTTAAATTTATGTAATTCCAAAGAGAGAAGCTGCGTAAAACTATACATGATGTGACGGAATTAATGAGTATTTGAGAATACATATGCTAAGTTGGTTTAGAAAAGATCATAGAGTAGACTTATCTTTACTAATATCAGGATATACTCTAAAGTCAGCATAATCAAATCAATATGTTACTGGCACAGAATTATACAAAGAAGTCAGAGATTCTAGAACTGGATTCCAGGTTTATGTTGTAGAATTATAATACATGAGAAATTAATAAGCCTTAATGGTGATTTTTCAACTTAGGGGGAAAACTCTGGACTAATGTATTCCCACAACTTGTCCATTGTCTAGGGAAAAACTTCTATCTTATATCAAAAATTTCTATCTTATATCAAAGACTTATATGTGAAAAATAAAACTGTAAAAATCCAGAATTACATGTAAGCTCCAGGGAAGAGACACTTGTATAACACAGTTGGATACTCCAAAGTTATTCTCAACCATTTAAAAAGTAAAAGCTTTTTGTTATGCAAAAAACATTAAAATTAACAGACAAAAATACATTTAATTTTATAACATAGGTTTTAWTATCTATTATACTCAAAGAATTCTTAGAAAAGGGCATAAGCCATGAATAGATAACAAAGGACCTGACTAGATGTTTTACAGAGTTGCAAGTCCAGATGACCAACAAATATATGAAAACGTGCTCCAAATAACTGATAGGGAAACGTAAWTTTTTTAAAAGTAACAGTTAATATCTTTAAATTTTTGGACTGGAGAATATTAAAAGATTGACATAACTGTTGCTGATAGAAAAACAGAGAAAAGATTACTGCTATCCTTTGCAAGGGGAGACATAAGTGATTGGAACCTGTTTTGAAAGCAACCTAGCAACATCTCCTAAAATTAAAAATACATGTTTCCTTTTACTCAGAAGACTTACTTCTGGGACAGGAAAAGTGTATACTTTATCATATATGATAGAAGTTATTGCATAATAATTGTGGTAACAAAAAGCTGGAAGCAAAATGAATGACTGTCAGGGTGCAAATGGCTTAAAGAGTATGGTGCATCCACGCTCTGACTGATTATGTGAGCATTTAAAAGACGCGTTAGTGTCAAACCTGAGGAACTTTGGAGGGCTTTCCATGATGTTTAGCAATAAAAGTATGATGAAGAAAAATGTAGGCGGCATTCCCTTTTGTAAAACAAATCACAGTCTCCAACCAGTCTATGAACGTGAGTGCAGGGCATGCTAAGGAGGGTGAAAAATATGGTCAGGCCTACGGGCTTTGCCTAATGATGAAGTGGAGAGGACTCAGAGTGGATGGAAGGAGGAAATCAAGTGAAGAGGGAAAGAGAAAAGACTTGAATGTTGGCACAAGTAGGCGTCCATGCCAAACAGTGAGGTGAAGCTGTGTACTCAGAGTATGCAGAGCTTCTGAGATGTTTGATAGGCGCCTCTTCTTCTATCCATAACATAGACAGCTTTTCTTACTTGGAGGGAAGCAGGTACCACCCTCCTCAATATCCTCCTTGAAGACTTTATAGCACTTTGAAATCCCAGGCTGCTTTCCATCTGCTCTCTGCTGGAAGAGGAGAGCTGAGAGTTGGATGGGCCTTCCTCACTATATCTCTGATCGTTTGATCCTAACAGACTTGGGAAAGGCTTATTTCTCTAGCCACATGCCCAAGTCTCCAAATAACTGGTGTGAACTCAGAATTCTCTCCGAGATGTACATCTGATTCCCACAGGCCAAAAAGCCTGCCGGGTTGGTGGGCAGGGATTTGATCCACTTAGCTGCTAAGAGTGAGTGAGTCAGTGTTTTAGCCAGCTTTTCACCTCTGCGACCAAAAGACTTGACCAGAACAATTTTAGAAAAGGGGAAGTTTATTTGGGGGCTCGTAGTTTCAGAGGTCTTAGTCCATAGACGGCCAGTTCCTTTGCTCTGAACTCAAGGTATGGCAGAACATCCCCTTGAAAGAGTGTGGTGGAGGAAAGTGGCTCAGGACATGGGATCAGCAGGGAGGGAGGGAGGGAGGGAGGGAGGGAGAGAGAGAGAGAGAGAGAGAGAGAGAGAGAGAGAGAGAGCGAGAGCACGCAGGAGCATGAGGCACTAGAGCAGCCACTAACCAGGAACAAAATAAATACCCCAGAGGTACATTCCCAGTGACCCACCTCCTCCAGCCACACCCTACCTACCTACAGTTACCAGCCAGTTAATCCCTATCAGGGATTAATGCACTCCTAACCCTGACATTTCACCTCTTAACTTTCTTGCATTATTTCACATGAGCTTTTGAGGGACACCTCACATTCAAACCATAACCATCAGTCTCTCTGAACTATGCCAGAACCAAAAAAGAGAATGACCCATGGGTGTTGGGAGCTGCCACCTAGGAGCTGAGCACCCTTAGCCTTGAGCAATGGAGGTGTGAGACTGGTTTCCAGGAGGAAGCAGGTGGATCTCTTCTGGGCTCAGCAGGGGAATGAAGCTCTGGGAGTGGGTGTCACCCAATGAGACTGGGCTACACTCCCCTGACACCCAATCCCTTGCCTCGTTTGGGTGGAACTTTCCTGATTGTCTTCCCTCAATAAATAGGGCTCTGGCATTCTCTCACCCTCTTTTGTCTGCCTCTCTTGCTTCCCTTGTGGGAGCCAGGGCCGAGGAGCCATTGCTGAACCCCCAAGAAAAAGGTATTTTCTCTGTCTCTGTGTGATTATTCAGTGCCAACCCAGTTCACCTGGAGTGAACCTGACTGATTTATTCATGTGTCATGGCACATGGGGCCACAGCATATCCCAGACTGAAATGACATGTTTCCTCCAGATCCCGTCTTCGGCACATGGCTTTACCTTTCCGCCACCTAGAGAGGTACAGATGTCAGGTCTTAGAAGGCACCACTGCCCTGGAACTCGGGGTCCCAGGAGACTAAACGGTCTCCTCCCATCCTTGTACTGTGCACTCAGCCAGCCATCATCCTATGTGTCTTACAAGTTCCCCTCAAATGTGCTCATGGATGCTTTGGAGCTCTGTAAGGAGAATTCTTCTCAAGGGAGTGCGTTTTGTAGCATCCATCTGTATCCCTGAATATCCTGCCAAATTCTGTAGGTCCAATATGGTGAAGGTCAGAGGCTCTGATGCGAGAATCAATTCCTGACTTTTCCTTCTCCTCCATTTTCCCCCTGCCCCCTCTCCATCTCCATGAGTAATTTTGCAGAGCGCTGCATGTGTGTGTGTGTGTGTGTGTGTGTGTGTGTGTGTGTGTGTGTATCCCTGCTGCCCTGGTCCTTACCTCTGTAGTAGCCAGAGTTGTGAGAAATCTGCTTCCTCTTCTTTCATGTGTTTCTAAATCTCTGTATTCCTAGAGTGGCACAGTATCTGGCCCACAGTTCATTCACAATACATATCTGTTGGATGAATAAATGTATGAAGTAGCTTGGGCTTCCTAAAATCTGAGGATAAAAGCAGGGTGGGAAATTTTAAAAGTGTGCACCAGCTCAGCACTAACAGAAAACATGACACTTCCTGGAGCTATGGTGTGATTCTCCATTGCTGTTCATTCTACAAAGAAGGGCTGTTGTTAACAAGATTTCTTGGCACATCCACTATTCATAATGCTGTTTTTACTGTTGAATGTATCCATTTTACACATATTAACAATAAAAAGTGGTCCTTTGTATGTTTTCTCTGTTTGGAGGGTGTCTGGGGAGTTGTGAATCATGGAGTCTCAGGTTTGGACTTGACTGGAAATTAAGTCATCATTCCAGAGAACTAGAACACTGCTCCTGTGTGAATGGATCGGAAGGGCAGCTCTTAATGGCTCATTGTCTTCACACAGATTTTCACCGCGTTGCCACCCTTTACCCTGGGAATCTTTGAGAGGTCTTGCAGTCAGGAGAGCATGCTCAGGTTTCCTCAGCTCTACAAAATCACCCAGAATGCTGAAGGCTTCAACACCAAGGTAAACGTTGCAATTACAGAGCTGTCCCCTCAGAAGAGTGTAGCAGAGTGCGGCCTGCCTTCTGAGGTTCAGCTCCAGCCGTCTTACATGTGACACTTGAGAGAGAACATGGGAGAAGCAGTGAGACTATGACCCACAGCCCTTCCATACAGCAAGCCCAGAGAACTCATGCCTTTCTGAGGTGCTTCCCATGTCCTACAGAGCTCTTCTTTAAGTTCCAGGAGGTCAACCCCATTTCCCTCCTCTCCACATAGGTCCCTAATATCAGTGGGGCCTTAGCACTCACGTTCCCCTTCCTTCAGGATAAGCCTGACGTTTTCAAGAGCCCTGGGGTACGGCTGACTGGGACCTTGCCTAGACATTGCCGGGTTTTTCATTTTAAAGAAAATACTTATTTAGCTAGAATGACTGGATACCAACTCATGGATCAAGTCAGTCATGAATTTTTGTTTGTGACTTTTGTATTTTGTTTGTTTGTTTTCTTCAGACTGTAGAAAAAGAAAGGATCTAGGCACAAATTGAATATCCCTTAAAATACCCCTGAAATTCTTGGGATCAGAAGTGTTTTCAACTTTGGTTTTTTGTCCTGTGGAATATTTGTATGTACCTAGTGACAGATCTTAAGGATGAGATCCAGGTCTAAGTGAACAATTCACTCATGTTTTATATAGACCTTATATACATAAACTGACAGTCATTTTATACAGTATTTTTAATAATTTGGGGCATGAAAACTGTTTCAGGGTGTGGAATTTTACACTGTGGCATCACATCAGGGCTCAAAAAGTTTCAGATTCAAGAATTTTGAATTTTTGATTTTGGATTTTTGGATTAGGGATGCTGGGCCTAGGTAGATCTATCCTCAGAAGACCCAAGCAGGATCTGGCTTGGGTATGATAGGGACCAAAAAATCTTGTATGTCAAGGAGAGCCTGTTGCAGAGCCTGCCATCACACCAAAGTGGGAGAGTGACTGAATGCTGCGTGCCCAAGGGGAAGGCACGTGCCTCACCTGGAGGAGGCAGGATGTGAGTACAGCTGCGTGGCCCCAGGCCTGTGCAGGACGGGATCAGGAAGCTGAAACCGCAGTCCCTTGCCCAATTCCGTGGCAGTACTGAGTGCTGGCTGTGGTTGCAATGTGCACAGATGGCACTGGGTCCTTGGTGGAAGGACTTGGTGAGCTCATTCTCCAAGCTCTGTGGTAGAACTGCCTCAGGAGGTCCTTCTTCTGAGCCAGATGTTACTCGTCGTTGGCCTTCACAGCTGCTTATGCTTAGGCCAGTTTAACAGGCATAGCCAAGGCTGGAAAAAAAAATTAAATGGGATCCTGTTAACTCTACTGTCTTCCATACTCAGGAGACTTGGGTGACTACTTTATCAGTCTTTGTTTACTATGATTCTATTTATGGGAAAATAAGACCTGTTTTCTCTGCATTTCTTACATAAATCAAATGTGTTTTTGATAGAGTTTGAATTAAAAAGCCTTTTAAGGTGGGAAGTGAATAGGGAATGAACCCACCTCCAAAATAGTGATACCGAGTATGCCCTGAGACATTGGCAGTCACCTTGCTTTGGAGTTTTTTGTTTGTTTGTTTGGTTCCTGGGTTTGGTTTTGCTTGGGTTTTAGTTTTGGTTTTGTTTGGTAGAGAGGTCAGGCAAAAAGTGAAACAAAAATGAATATTTAAAACGGGGAGGTATTTTTATATAACAATATTTTTCTTTATTTTTCTGTTGTCCCACCACTACTTAGGAGCGAACTATATGAGAATTCCCAGAACAACTTTAGACCTTTAAATACATTTAATCTGATTCTAGTTGTTCCGCCATCTCAGTAGTTTAGAATGAGACTTAAGGAGTTAGGAGTATAGCTCTATGGTGAAGCACCAGCACCAAAGTCTGAAATGCATTAATGAAACTCTAGTTTAGAATAAACTTCCTGTTCCTTCAGATAAAACAGAATTTTTTTAATGTGCATGTATTAGCCAAATCCCAAAACTGAAAGAAAAAATTAAATGGGAAGTATTGTAAGCAGAAAAACAAGAGAATGGCATGTGAGAATTTACAGGTAAAATGCTTTTTAATGGTTTCAAAAAGGAAAGATTCAATCTCTTATTAGCAATTTTGACCTAATGCCCTTTTTCCAGATGTTCCTAAAATGTTTGTCTTCAGATGCTAAAGAAAACTCACTGCAACTCACTTTTCAAACGTGGATGGATTGTGTATTGGTCTGTATATAGGTGGATATATCCTGTAGGTCTTTTTAGTAAAATAGTATTATGTGGAGAGAGTTCAGACATTTGCATGTTGATATGAGGAAATAGCTGTCTGGGGGGGCTTTTTAAAATTTGAGAGTAGTGTGCTCCTCCTGGAGCCTTCACAGCCTGAGAGCTGCACACAGAGGTTGAGAGTTCCGTCCACTCTGACTGTCTTGGTTTGTTTTTCTGCAGGTTTTCTGGGGTCACTGCATCAACGCCTTGGTCCACTCCCTCATCCTCTTCTGGTTTCCCATGAAAGCGCTGGAGCATGGTAACAGCTTTATGATTCAACTGTCAGCAAGTAGCTTTGCACCCCGTCTGCTGCCGGCATGTTCATGACTTTCTCCCTAGTTTTACACAATGAGATCACAAGAACACATTAGAGGAAAAAAAACCCATATATATATATAATTTATATTTATAAAATATATAATTTTAATATATATACATATATATGTGTATGTCTGTGTATATATGTATATATATATRTRTATATATATATGTATATATGTATATATATGTATATATTTGAACAATAACTAGTACCAAGTAGAATTCTAACTTAAGAGGTTTTATCAGGTCAACTTTGAGACTCCATTTTTTTCTAGTTGACTGGATGGTTTAAATACTAGGAATTCTAAACTCAGTTTGTAATAACTATTTGAGTCTGACCTTGAAGAAGAATGCTATACTATCATGAAATCTCTTGCCCATATGTTTGAAATTCTGTTACTTTATTGAGCTTTCATTTTTCAAGCTTCTTATACCTCTTATACAGAATCACTCAAATCTTGTAAGAGTTTAGTCTTATTCCTCCACCTTATGAAGCTATACTTTGAGAATGAATTCTCCAGATTGGTTTTAGTTCTTTGCCACAGCTAGAAGAGGATGAGTGAGAACTGTGACAGCCTCCGTGTTTATTCATACTTCTTAATGCCTCCAAAATGTGGCCTCCACATCAAGAGGTGGATTGAGTCTCAGAAAATAAAAATGTATCATAAGAACACTGCTCTTTCATCCCTCTCAAATAATAATAATCCTCCTGGGAAAAATTACTCCAAACCTTGACTAGACAAGGCCTTTGATTGTTCAAAGAAGCAAAGAATATAAAGTTTCCAAGCGTCTTTGTTGCTGTGTCAGTGTGTTTTATGCTTCAAACAGAAATGATTCATCTTCACTGATATTCTTTAACCTATTAAATTCTGACAGAGAAAATGCATGCACAGAAATTTATTATGCCCTCTGACCTGTTCTTTCAATTTCATCAGAACTCCTTTTCTGTCCAGGGACCTTCAGTCTTTAGATCAGGAAATAGAATTTTCTGCTTCTACACCTTCCCCGCAAAAGAACATCTTAGTGAATTCAATGTCTTTTACTTCTCAGGCTTTTCTGGGCTTCATCTTTACTCAGTGTTTTGTTTTAAAATGGTTTTAGCAGTAAGGGTTTGCCAGTAGAAGAGCATTAGGTGTGATTTTGTTCCCAAAGCTGTGACATTTTGGTGGTAGAAGTAGAAGCAGCCATTGTCATACCACGATGGACCAGTGAACATTTTAGCAATTGTCCTTTTGTACCTGATCCCAGACTCATAGGAAGAGAGAGCAGATAGTATGGATTGGCCTCAGTGCTGTCTCCAGACCCTTTGTTCTGAACTGGACACTGGAACTGTTTCCAGAAGTGTTTGCCTTTGGACTGTAAACCAGTTTTATAAGACATTTATGGCCTGCTTTGACAGGAATTAATGTAGCTGCTCAAATCATCAAGTGAATTTTAAGTTAGGTTCTGCCTCCCTTAACTATTTCTCCCAAATCTTTCTATTGGCCTAACAGCCACACAAGAGAATTTTTTTCTGTTTTAATTATTGTTACCATCATCATCATCAATGTCACTATTTTATTGTATTTACTGGTCCTTCAGCATAGGGTTTTCTTTTAGCCGTGCTTTAAACAACAGGTAAATAAAAATGTTTAAGGTGAAATAAACTAAAAGTATTAAGTTAATTGTCATAGAAGGCCATTTTTGTTCTTGCCATTAGTTGACCCTCTCGGACAAATTGAATGAATATTTTAGAATTCATTTCTATCTTCCCTCTATTAGTACAAAATAAAAGCATTACATTATTACTTACAGACTGTGTTCATTCATGTAATATTTATGTCTAAAACACTGCAGTGGATTTCAAGATGGTCGGTGAATGTATCAGTGTTGATCTTATTAGTTTGTAGTCTGGTAAAGGAGATTAGATTTGCACATCGATGACGCTAGTACAATAGCTGTCTCAAGGAAAATGCAGATGAAGTGTGATTAGCTACCAGAAGGTTGGGAGATGCCTTTCATTTGGTATTTTTTAATAGCTTCTTAGAGGAGGAAACATCTAGGTTTAGCTGTGAAGTCTACATGGGATTCAGATGTGTAGGACTGGCAGGAAGAGTCAAACTAGGAAAATGGACTGAATGTTTTTCTCTCCCCCTAAACCTTACAGTGAAATCTCACCTCCAAGGTGATGATATTAGGCGGTGAGGCCTTTGGGGTGATTAGGTCAAGAGGGTGGCACCCACTGAATGGGATTAGTTCCCTTATATATTAATGCTCCAAGAGTCACTTTACTCTTGAGCTAATGAGAACATAGCAAGAAGGTGCCCTCTAAAATGAATAGGCCCCCACCTCAGACAGAGAAATTGCCAGTACCTTGATCTTGGACTTTCCAACCTCCAGAACTATGAGACATAATTTTCTATTGGTTATAAGCTACCAGTCTATGTTTTTTGTTATAACAACCTGAACAGACTAAGACAACGCCTCTCCACATTTCCCTACCCTTGTGGCAACTGTAAATCAAAACAAGTCTGTATGCATTTCCACCATCCCCTGTGTAGTGGGTGGGAGCTGTGTATGTCTACAGCATAAAGGGGGAAGAGGATGGTAACTGCAGAGTTACATGATGGGATCTGAAGTTACATGAAGGGTAAGACTGCTCTGTAAAGAAAAATATAGAATTTGCAAGATCATAGGTTGTTGAGAATTATGGCAGTGGAGGGGGGTGTGAGTCGGTGGTGGAAATCAAGGAAGATTGCAAGTTTGAGAGGATGATTGGATTACTTGTTTATGTGTGCTGATTTACTGTCCTGAATACAAGTGAGTTCTTATTACACTCTTAATTGCCATTTAGAAAGCTATCCACTCTACTCCCAAGAGGCATAGGATAGGAACATGGCACCAATTTGAGGCAAATGGGGATAATTTTCAAAGCAGAGGGACCCTGGTACAACAAAAGAGAACCTCTAAGCCTCCCTCCACTGCCCCAGTGGTTTCTGAAGCCATCCCTTTCCCACCTGTTGACACCCACCACCATGAAGGAGGTATGCTCAACCCGGGGCCGAGTCCCTGATCTAGCTCCACATCATCATGTGACATTAGGCGTATTTTGTCACAAAGACAGTGAGTTTTACTGTAAGATTCCCCGTCCACCACGAATGGAGAGAGGCTTAGGTACCAATCAGTGCTGTTCACTTTGTTCAAGGTCATATGATTATCACTCAGAAATAAATATTCTTGGAAAGGTGTGCCTGGTTTTTTTCTCCCTAGAATGCTTCCCAGAATTTTTGCTTCACTTATTTTTGCATGGTTTTGGATAGACTTTTCAAAGCACTCTTTTGCTAATGGAGTTTGTGATGATTCATTTCAAGTTTCAAAATAAATTTTTCCACTCCAGCAGTTCAGTAAATCAGATTTCTCCCAACCATCACAACCTTATGCTCAAGCCACGGGCTGCCTGCAGCCCCATCCCCTTCTGTCTAAAAAGTGGCATTAGGTGAAGACCATGCATCTCACCTTCACAGACCCCCAGATTCATCAGGGGTCTTAGAGCCAGGCCACTCTTGGATTTCCCATTGGCATTTCCTGTCTGCATAGTTGAGCAACCTTCCTTGTAGTGGAATGTGATTATTGGCAAAAGAACGTAAAATCAATTTGGATTTGAAAAAAGAAATTTTCACATTTTTCCTGATGAAATTTGCAAGGGAGGTGATGGAAAAGAGAATGTACTTACCGGCTTTTAAAAAAAACTGATTTTGATCGATTCCTTAAAGTTCAGTTCACAAATCCCTTGCATTTTAAGAAGGTGTGTCTCATGGATATTTATAGGTTGGCTTGATTACTAATTAAGCAACAGCATCTTTCAACATTTTTAAAGAAGGCAATTTTATACTTTTTAATAAATGGGCTGCTATAAGATCAGATGTGTCTTAAATAATAAAAAAGTAATAGTGCCCATGTCTAAAATAAAACTCAGCATACCTCTTTGCCCATGGCATTGTTCAGTCGTATTAGCTTAAAGCATGTATGAGCTGTAAACTTGGGTGTTTTGTATCTCGTTGATCCTGATGACTTGAATTGTTGTCGAAATTCAGTTAAATTAGGGCAAGAACATAAAAAGTGTACATAACAGATGAATTCCCTGCCCTCATGGAACTTACATCTAGAGAAGGCAGACTTGAATGAGAACTGTTACCAAAGGGTCCTTTGTATCCCAAGGAAACTTGAACTGAGCTGGACTTTGAGGACTGCTTCTCAGAGGATGTGGCAACAGATGAGTAGGAAGGAATGAGAAAAAAGTAAACAGGAAGGTGCCTCAGCCTTGGGAATAGTGCAGGGGGGAGTGGCTCTGGATCAAGGAAAGCACAGGTGGGTGGGGGTTGAGGGTGGGACTGTGAAACAAATTGCTTTGAGATGATGAGGATGGAAGGAGAAATGTCAGACTTCTCTGGACCTTCGAGAATATGGAGGCTTTTAGAGTGTAAGTGTCAGGGATGCCATGGACAGGTTTAGCAGGGAGCCATAGGATCTGATTTTTTTTGATGTAACTACACTGGCAAGGATAATTACTGGAGTCCATTTGGTTGGCCATTGCACAATCTTGGGTAGTAATAAATGTAGCAGAACGGAGTAGGCGGATTGGAGGTAGAACTGGAAAGATCCAGAATTGCCCTAGTGAATGTTTTCCATCTCTACCAGATTCTACTATGTCTTAAACCTGCAGGAAAATGTGCTATTGCAGCCACAAAGGCCAACAAAATACTAAGTCGGGTTCCTGAAGCAATGCACTGACATTTGTTCCCCTGTAAAAGTCACTGCCAATACTGTGTGCAGTTTAGAAAAGGTCTAAAATGAATGAAAAATTGAAAGGCAGACATTTGAGTGTTTAATGGGACAGAAAAGGGGAGCAGTAAGTCACTGTGGCCTCTGACATCTGGGAACACCTGCTGAGAGAACAGG